ACCAGGAGGGGAGGGGTGCTATGGAGCTAAGTATGTAGCACACCAGGAAGTGAGGGGTGCTATGGAGCTAAGTATGTAGCACACCAGGAAGGGAGCGGTGCTATGGAGCTAAGTATGTAGCATACCAGGAAGGGAGGGGTGCTATGGAGTTAAGTATGTAGCATACCAGGAAGGGAGGGGTGCTATGGAGTTAAGAATGTAGCATACCAGGAGGAGAGAGGTGCTATGGAACTAAGTATATAGCACACCAAGAAATGAGGGGTGCTATGAAGTTAAATATACAGCACATCAGGAAATGAGGGGTGTTATGGAGTTAAGTGTGTAGCATACCAGGAAGTGAGCGGTGCTATGGAACTAAGTATAGAGCATACCAGGAAATGAGGGGTGCTATGAAGTTAAGTATGTAGCATACCAGGAAGAGAGGGGTGCTATGGAACTATGTATAAAGCATACTAGGAAGTGAGCGGCGGCATGGAGAAAAATAGCAAAGCCGGGGGCTGGCCCAATGGCGCAAGCAGTTAAGTGCGCCTGCTCCGCTGCGGCGGCCCGGGGTTCGCCTGTTAGGGTCCCGGGCGCACACCGCAGCACTGCTTGTCGGGCCATGCTGTGGCAGCATCCCATATAAAGTGGAGGAAGATGGGCACGGATGTTAGCCCAGGGCCAGTCTTCCTCAGCAAAACAGAGGAGGATTGGCAGATGTTAGCACAAGGCTGATCTTCCTCACAAAAAAAAAAAAAAAGCAAAGCGGGGGATATCTGAAGGGAGACCAATTTTCACCAGGGTGGTAGGGAAGGCCTCTCAGAAAGAGGGACATTTGAGCAAAGATCTGAGGAGGTGAAGAGAACATGGGAATGTCTAGACGGAATATTTCCAAGCAGAGGGACTAGCAAATGCAAAGGCCCTGAGGAGAGAGTATGTCCAAAGTGTTTGAGGAACAGCAAGGTGGACAACAGGCCAGAGCAGAGAACGTCAAGGGAAGAATTGCAGGAAGTGAGGTCAGAGAGCAAACAGGGTCTTGTAGGCCTAATGGTAAGAATCACTGCCTTTCTGAGTAAGATGTGGACTACTGAATAGTTTTTAACAGAATCATGTTTTAGAAGGATCACTCTGGCTGCTGTGCTGAGAACAGAATGAAGGTTAAGGGTGGTTGATGTAAAATCCTAGTCAAAGGTGACAGTGGCTTGGACCGAGCCGGCATCAGTGGAGATGGAAAGAGTGGTCATATATGTTGAAGAGACAGCAACAGGATTTGATGACAGATTGGATGTGGGGTATAAAAGAGTTGCTGAGTCTTTCTCTGCAATGGGAATGATGGAGTTGCCATTACTGAGATAGAGAAGGTTGTAGCTAGAGGTTTTTGAAGGGAGGGGAGATCAGTTTAGT